ACAGAAAAAAGGACACCAGCAATCCTACCATCATGTAAAACAATTACAGGCTTTCGTTTTACACTCACTTGGCAGGACGGTAGTACCTCCCTGGGCGGTTGCTGTCTACCAACCTACTACCTAGGATATATATATATATATATATATAATATATTTTATTTATAATATATATATATATATATATATAATATATTTTGCGGTACGAGCTCAGGATCCCAGGTTCATTGAAGTAGCCGTTCGGTGGGACACCCTTGCAGACTCCTCCAGTAGACCAGCTCCTCCCAAAGAGCACAAACAGTCCCACTGGGACAAACCGATCATGGAAAAAATCTCGAACACAATACTCACCAACTTTTCAGGAAAGGGCAAAGCTCGTCTTCTAGCGGTGAAGGCACCACATTCAGGAGATTTCCTATTAGTTGTTCCCAATTCCTCCCTGGGTACTCGACTCGACCCACAGGCCATTCGGATTCGTGTTGCTCTTCGCCTAGCTGCCCTCATACTCACCGGACATAGGTGTATTTGCGGCAAGGCGACGACTGATCAATTCGGACTTCATGGTCTCGTGTGCCACACAGCAGAAGGGAAGTATGCTAGACATAAGGTCAACGACATCATAAAGAGAAGCCTCACCACAGCCCTTTGCCCAGCTGAACGGGAACCCCAAGTACAGAGGTCTGACGGAAGTCAAAAGCGTCCTGATGGAGCCACTATGCTTCCCAGAAAGGGATGGTAAGCAGATTGCCTGGGACTACACCTGTACCGCCACACTGGCAGACACCTACTTGCCATACTCTGAAGTTGAAGGGGGTGGAGCCCCCAGCTACATGGAGACCCAGAAGACCTGCAGATATGAAGACCTGCCCTCTTGCTATAATTTCATCCCAGTAGAGTCGGAAACCCTTGGAGCATGAGGTAAGTGTACTCTATTGTTCTTCAAAGAACTAGCTGAAAAACTCATCACAGAAACCAAGGATCACAGAGCGGCCAGCTTCCTCTTTCAGAGACTCAGTGTTGCGATCCGGAGGTACAATGCCTGCAGCATTCAGGACAGGCGGCCAACCGCCGAGGAGCTGGACGAAGTATTCGAGATATAGCTCTGAGATGTTATCTACGTTGTTCTATTGTATTTTTGTTAATGTATTTTGTATTTAAATAAAATCTACATAGAATATGGAATATAGGAGTGATAGGAGAAGATAATATTCGAACAGTTCCGGGGAGAATCTTGAGTTATTACCCCTAGCATTTATATATATATATATATATATAATATATATATATATATATATATATATATATATATATATATATATGTATATATATATAGATATAATATAGTATATTATATATATATATATATATATAATACATATATATATATATATATTATGTATATTTATATATATATATATATATATTTATATATATTTATATATATATATATTATATATATATATTATTATAATGCTAGGGCTAATAAGTTATTTCTCTCTCTATTATCGCTGGTCCAAAAACAAATCAAGGCTTATGTTTATGTCAAGTTTTCATCAATTTACGATGTTTATGAGTTGTGGGTGTAGGCAGCAGGTGTTTGTAATGTTTTATATCAGATTTATTGGGAAGCAGCTCGGGGAAAGGTAGCAACAAGTCTTCGGATCAAGAACCCTTCACCAGTATCAAGGACAGGCGACCCAGGACGCAACTCACATAGATCATCACACAATTCACATTACCCAGTACATAAACATAAGAACATAAGAGCATAAGAACGAAGGAACACTGCAGCAGGCCTACTGGCCCATGCGAGGCAGGTCCAAGTCTCCTACCGGCTTAAGCCAATGCACCCAACCCAGTTAGGTCAGGTCACATTGACTTAAGGGAGGAACACGGCAACCGACCTGGTAGCACAAGCTATCAGGTCCAACTCACACCCACCCACACCCACTCATGTATTTATCCAACCTATTTTTAAAGCTACACAACGTTCTGGCCTCTATAACTGTACTTGGGAGTTTGTTCCACTCATCCACAACTCTATTACCAAACCAGTACTTTCCTATATCCTTCCTGAATCTGAATTTTTCCAACTTAAAATCATTGCTGCGAGTCCTGTCTAGGCTAGATATTTTCAGCACGCTATTTACATCCCCTTTATTTATTCCTGTCTTCCATTTATACACCTCAATCATATCCCCCCCTAATTCTACGTCTTTCTAGAGGGTGCAGATTCAGGGCCCTTAGTCTATCCTCACAGGGAAGATTTCTGATACATGGGATCAACTTTGTCATCCTCCCAGCACGCGAGTCGCATTACGACCCAGAACATTGAATAATACGAAAAAGAGTATCCAGGTTAAATACCTCTAGATAAATTACACACCTCGTCCATCGTGAAGAATAAGAAGTACAATGGACCAATGTACAAAGAACCCGCACTTAGGAGAGAAACCTAATGATGACGTTTCGGTCGCTCCTGGAAAATCTGTTATGTATAATAGTGTAAGCGGACAGTTGGTAATAGTAAGCCAATTATACCAAAGTTCCCTATAATTATAAAAAAAAACGCTTCAGCCCCTGGGGATTCTATCGAGTATAAGCGCAGGACAAGACTAGAGGTATATAATGCACAGTGGGTCAGGTAAAGTGAAGATGACAACTGTTCATGTTTACTGTGCACCCTATATTCATCCTGTGGATGATAGCGAAAGAGCATATGGATACACTAAAGGTCCAGGAACTAGGTGAGAAAGGGTTTGCAGGAGCACATCTTGATATATATATATATGTATATGTATGTATGTATATATATATATATATATATATATATATATATATATATATATATAAATATATTATATATATATATATATATATATATATATATAGTATATATATATATATACATATATATATTATATAATATATATATATATATATATATATATATATATAATATATATATATATATATATATATATATATATATATATATATATATATATGTGTATCTTTATACGAATATGCTTCTAAACTGTTGTATTCTGAGCACCTCTGCAAAAACAGTGATACTGTGTGAGTGTGGTGAAAGTGTTGAATGATGATGAAAGTATTTTCTTTTTGGGGATTTTCTTTCTTTTTTGGGTCACCCTGCCTCGGTGGGAGACGGCCGACTTGTTGAATTATATATATATATATATATATATATATATATATATATATTATATATATAATATATATATATATATATATATATTATATATATATATATATCCACTTCTCCGAGGCTATGGGTCCCACAGTTTACACCAGAGGTGGACCCCATTCTATATATATATGTGTGTGTGTGTGTGTGTGTGTTAAGAGAACGGTTAAGAGTAGGGTAGCTATGTAAGAAACTGGATAACCATTTATATTAACCGGCTTTGTGACTGTGTAACCAGCTGTGCAAACAGCTTCTTCAGTGGCTATGTAGCTTGCCATGCAGGCAGCAAAAGCAGCAGTTAACACCTGCCCAACAGCTGCTTGTACAAAGTCGGCCTCAGGCATTAAAAAGACGCATGGCCAATTTTAGTGAAAAATACCCGGCGTTCGAAATATGAATCTGGTTGCGAAATGACGGCAGCAGCTCCCCATTCACAAAAACATAGAGCACATTACCTCTCTCAGGCGTAAAATGTACCTATACGAGATTTATCTGGTGATACGTTAGTGCCTGCCGTGTGTAGTACAACAATCATTCATCACCCCGGCGGAGGCTATTGCTGAGGCCGGGGGAAGGAGTTAGGCTCGATCATGCGTGGTACACCCTCCACCCACACATGCTCTCTTTAATGTCTCTCTCTCTCTCTCTCTCTCTCTCTCTCTCTCTCTCTCTCTCTCTCTCTCTCTCTCTCTCTCTCTCTCTCTCTCTCTCTCTCTCTCTCTCTACCTCTCTCTCTCTCTCTCTCTCTACGTCCATTCCTCCCTCCCTCTCTACCTTTCACACAAACTCCTCCCTCACAAACACACCATCTCTTTCTCTCATTTTTTATTTTAAATATGTAAATTGTCCCGCAATTTATAAATGTTAGTTATATAAGAACATATTAAAGGCTTAAGCATATGTCAGCGTATCTTCCTGTCTTGGTTCACGTGTTCAGTAGTTAAGGTGTTGCTATCGTTATTGCTATGCTATTATTATTATTATTATTATTATTATTATTTATGTCAAGCAAGAAACCTGTATGGCTCATGCTACGTAAGGAGGGTGGAGGCTCGATCCTCAGTCTGCTAATCGTTGGGTACACATTATCTAATTGAGCAAGACAGCGTACCTGGTACGTCCTCGTCACTGGTTACATTTCAGATATCACAATGTGGTAACTATTACCCCCACATATCACAAAACATTCTCAACCATGTCGTGTATGTTTATGTAGTGACGTAGTGATAAACATTAATGAAAGAGCTAAAGAAACATTGATTCTAATTACTGGAACATCTCGGGTGGGAAGTGCAGATGTTAATGTGGTTTTTGCATGTTTATGCACAGTCAGTGTACGCGTATAACTTCACACTCGGGCATCGTTCGTAAATCTTCACGAATGCGAAGCCCATAGAATGCTTCACTACGATCACGTCTTTGTGTGAAACTTGATCCACTTGCAGTGTTGTAGCTGCGCTCTCACCGGCAACCAGCAACTCTCTCCTTACATGGCACTGTGTCTAATCTCCGTAGCCAAGAGCTTGTGCCGAATCTTTAATACATCGTAAGTGCATTTCTACACTACAAAAATCTTGTGTGGTAATGTGGCGGGAATCATACGCATATCCCAGTGCCAGAGTACGCATGCCCATAGTGATTTTGTAAGTTTTACCAACATGGGGGATGATCTTTTGCCATAGTTACACATCTCAAAATATCTCAATGATCATGAACCTTGGTTAATATTAATTTTCGGACAAATGTAGCTCATGCATCGCTTACGACAAGGGAAAGAAAAGTGTTAATGAGAAAGTGTGGAAGGAGGTGGGTTTGAGGAAGTTTGTGGTAACAGTGAAGAGAGGTGGCTCCAGCGTGTAGGAGGGATGGTGCGGCCCAGGGCAGTTGCTCGCTAGACCCAGGTGAGGTGAGAACCGCTGATCCCGGAGCTGGCGAGGCTGGTGAGTTGTTGCTCCTCTTATACCGTGGCACAGTCACCTCCAACTTCCCTGCGCTGGCGAGTCCTCACTTCCGCCAGGGTTCTTTTCTCCAGCGTGCACCGCCGAGTGTTACTCTCCCGGCAGGTGTAGACCAGATGTCACGTTGACACCACCTAGCCAGCTAAGTATTCGGTTACCACCTGTTGCCGGTAGCGATCAGTGATTCCTGCGGTGATGGGAGATGAGTATGCGAGTGCCAACATGCTCAGAGTGGCACAGCATCACCATGCCAGTGCCTACACTCCCTCACTATCATCTATATACATCCACCAACAATGGTTGAGGGGAAACTGAAATGAAATTATAATGAATGTTGCTTTTTTTTTACATACACACAAAGCAAACACGACATCAGTATTGAAAGAGGCTGAATACAAATTTCCTTAGAAATTTGCTTTCTAACAAACAACAAAAAAGCCGTGTAATAGACACTTGTCGATGCTTTAGTGTATCCCACATGCAGACAAAAAGCACAGCAGTGGAAACGAGAATATATTTCGGCTCCCAATGGAGCCTTCATCTAGAGTACATCCTGTTGACGAGGACTCTCGGTGGGAGTCGAAATATAGCTTCATTGAAAACTGCTGTATGCTTGTCTACGTTTGAGATACCGTTTAACAACTTATATATCTTTATATATATTATATATTATATATATATATATATATATATATATATATATATATATATATATATATATATATATAACAAAATACATTTACAGAAAAAAAACATAAACATGAATACAATGGCACAATGTATCAAAGATCATGAATTTCCTCCAGCTCCTCCGAGGCTGGACGTGAGCCAAGTACGCAGCAAGCATTTCCCCTCTGGATGGCGACGCTGAGGCGCTGGAACATGAAAGTGACTGCCCTTGGGTCCCTGGTGGTGTCGATGAGTCTGGAACCCAATTCTTTAAGGAAACGTGTGGCATTTTTTCCCCATGATCCCAAGGTCTCTGATCCCACTGGGACAAATTGATACTGTTGGCTAATGTCCCTGTACTTGCTGATCTTGTACTCCTCCCTGTGGTCAGCAGCTCCTCCCTGTCGCCCCACACTGTGATGGATATAGGTGTCAGCCAGTGTGGAGACACAGGTATAGTCCCATGCTAAGAGCTTGCCATTCTTCCAAGGATAGATGGTGATCCCGTCGGGGCGGTTTGCTGGGTTGTGGGTATTGTTGGCTGCTAGCGATCGGGGCTCCATCTCGGCAGGGCATCCAGCTGTACAAGGGTTCTCTTAATGATGTCGTTGACCTCATTGTGTCTTGCATGCCAGCCCTTGGTTTTGGAACAGTTAAGACCATGTAGACCGTATTGGTCTGCTTGCACTTCGCCGCAAATACACATATATTCTGTGTGAATTGGGGCAGCAAGGCGCAGAGCCACTGCAATACGGAGGGTCTTAGGGTCGAGTCGCGTTCCCATTGCCGATATGGAAACTGTTTGGAGGAAGTCCCCGGAGTGAGGTGCACTCACAGCCTGGAGATGGGCAATCTCCCTATCTGATGTTGCAGCCCTGAGCATGTTGGCAAGCACCTTTTCAGCAATTGGGCCATCCCATATATATAATTATATATATAGTTATTTATTTACCATATAAGCTTTCTCCCTCCAGGGTAGTACGGCCCAAAAACGAAACATTACCCTCATTCATTCAATAAGTCACTTTATCTGACTTTTTTGGGTTATCCTAGGTTCTCTACACATATACTGCTATATATGATAATCTATGTAACTGTATTTGTGTATACCTGAATAAACCTACTTATTTAGTTACTAGCTATAAGTGCTCAAACATCAAATTTCACATGACCCTCCGAACAGCACCCCACCCCTCCTTCAGGGTCCTGACACTGTACCTGCACATGACAGCCAGATCCAGGGACGTATATGGTTTCCGTACAGGTGATAACGGACTACCCATTCTGCATCTGTTCTTTTCTCTGAAAATTTCTCTACTGACTGAAAAAAATTACTAGAAACTACTTTTTTCAGGGCAGTAGTTTTCTGGACAAAAATTGGGAACTAGTTGTGTTGGGGCTGGAGATATGTTGTTAAAAGTCTAAAACAACATTGTCTAGCACACTGGTTGTTAAAAATCGACGTCCAAACTCAGTATCTTCTTGGCATGGCGGTTTGAGTTTCAGATTTCCCCTCATCCATCAGTGAAACCTTGTCAGATGATTGTGTGCTTGATTTAGGGTTTTCGAAGCCGAATACTTCCCCGTATCAAGCCACCAGACATGGCCTGGCGCCAGTTTGTTCATGACATCTTCACACTTTGGGTTAACAAATCGAGTAACTTCAAAACATTTTTCACCGAGTTGAACCAACTTGTACTCTCCATCAAGTTTAAGGCAGAATGGGAAAAAATGACCAACTTCCTCAAACTAGAATTCGCTGTTTCGAAAACCTACACAACGAATTACGTACATTTTTTGTAGTCGCCGTTCTCCAAAAATAAATGGTGTCTAGCCTCTTTTCCGAGGATCCTGAAAATCTATGCCCAAAATAAATTAGACCAAGAGAAAGGAATAATGAATGAAGTCTTAGCAATGCTAACAAAAAAACAAAAAACTGCCTCACACCCACAAATCCAACTACCCAAAGAAATACTTCACACAATTAAGTCAGTCATCCCTCTCCATCAAGGCAATAAATGTTAACAGTGTCCTAGATGAAGCATTTTCGTAGCCTCACAAAACTGGGAAGAATTTCATTACAAACCTCAAACAACCAGTCAGGTCAATGCCAACAAGTGTGAATCAGATGTCCTTCATCTTCAAAAACTGCGATTTGACTCATGTGGGAGCAGACGGGCCATGGTTTTGAAACTCTCGTGGCACAACATAAAGAATATGCATCAAATATGACCAAACAAGCTCAGCCTTATTCCAGCATGTAAACATTCCGAATCACAACAAGAGGAAAACAGCCATCACAACAACACCTCTAAAGAGACAGTATTAAGAATCGGCACATAAACAGTACGCAGCTTCATTATTTCAAAAGGAACGTTAGAAACAGATCTAATTTCGAAGTTTCCTTTAAAGACACATATACTAGCGTCAAGACTAATATCGATTTCCGAATCTCTCCCACTACCAACGTAGCTACGAACGTAGTTACTACCAGACAAGCTACTCCACACCAAGAGTGGTCTCACCCACCATGCGGGTTCAGTCAACTTCCTATATACCGACAGTTTCCACACGTGACCTTCCTAAGCTACTGAACACCATATTCTAGTACAAAATGCTTCTATTATCAGGTATTCGCCAAAAGTGACTTCGAGTGGACGTCTAAATATACAGACGACTCTCTATCACTCGTATTTCTGTCTCCATGTTGGTACTGACCATTTATATGTATATATGCATGTGTATAATGTGTATGTGTAAGAATAATCCTCATTCATCATATTTAATAGCTAAAATTAGTGACCGTCCGTAGAATGTCTCAAGGCAACACACTCGTAATCGTTACCTAATTATAATAATTATCAACCTGACTGTACTTTGCTGTATTTCTTTGTTACGTGTCTCCGTGAGCACTGTTAATAAAGTAACACCCGCCTCACCTGTCACACAGTCTTCTCTGTTATCATATAGTTAAATGAGCTGAATTTAATGGGTGAAAGAGGAGTGGGGAGTGGGAAGGCAGAGGGAAGAGTGGGGGAGTGGGAAGGCAGAGGGAAGAGTGGGGAGTGGGAAGGCAGAGGAAAGAGTGGGGAGTGGGAAGGCAGAGGGAAGAGTGGGGGAGTGGGAAGGCAGAGGAAAGAGTGGGGAGTGGGAAGGCAGATGGGAGGGGTGAGGAGTGTGCTGCTAGGGGAGGAAGCGGTGGAGGTAGGAGGATGAAGAGTGGTCCTGTGATATACCTGCGACAATTTTCGAGAGCCCTTCCGCTTCTGCAGCCCGGCCTGAGGCCAGGCTTTTTCTAACGTCTGCTTGACCAACCTGCCTGTTACTGTTGGCAGTCTGCTGGCCCACATAACATGGTTGATCTGGCACTTGGTGGAGGTAGGGATCTACACTTGTTCTGGCAGTATTTCTGAAATCTGTTGATAGTGTGTTTAGAAGTTTAAATAGTCAAAGCCCACACAAGTTGATATCTTGTTCTCACATTGTGACCATGGTGCCCTTGGTTTTAACCGGTTTCATTTTGCATATCCTTCCATAGTTCTCACTCGTTGTTATGGTAGTGAGTGCGTATGGAACCACGCTGTCCAGTATATTCCACGTGTATATTATCGTATATCATTGTTCTCCGCTCATCACTCTGAGGCATTCTTAGTAGTTTAAACGTTTTATTGACTATATATCAACAGTGAATGATTTCAGTATCTGTTTCAGCTCTGGCATCTCTCGTGTCTTGGAGGGAGAGGTCAACACTGAGCAACACTCTAGGCAAAAGAGCAGAAGTGATGTGAATAGTGTCAATTCTGGGAAAAAATTGATTTAAAAGTTCTCCTTATCCACCCAGTCATATTTCTCGCAACATTTCTTAGGGGGTTAGTATGCATTGTGTACACAATGCCCCTTGTGAATTATTTTATTCGTAGCCGAGTATTTGGATTTTATACCATTTAATGTTATGCTTTTATTTTTTTTCAGTAAACCCCCGAATCTCCAAGGTGGGGTGATCAAAAAAAAATCCAAATTTTCTTTTTTAAACTTAGTAAGGTATACAGGGGTGTTACACCCCCTTGCTCCCGGTATTTTGTTCCCCTTCACGACATGCATGGCTTACGGAGGAAGAATTCTGTTCCACTTTCCCATGGAGATAAGCGGAAATAAAAAAGAACAAGAATAGTAAGTAAGACGAAAACCGAGGGGTGTGTATTAAACGCTTGTTCACGCAGTGTAGTACGACCTAAAGTAAGTAGTTTAAAAACGTACCTGAAATCCTGATGTTTTTGAGCAAAATCCTCATTTGGGGGAGGGTAGATTCCCCG